GCCCCCGCCGCACCGCCACGCCAGTCCCTGCGAGACCGAGGGTCCAGGCTCCGAGCTCACAGAACGTGGCCTGAGCCCAGGGCCCAGCAGCAGGCGCGTGGACCGACTCCCCAGTGCCACGAAGCTGTAACTGCACGCATCGAGCTTTGAAATCGCGGCTCCGGGGTTTCACTAAGGTAGATGTAATGCCAATATTCCTGTTCTCACGCGCTCTCTCCCTGAGGAGCCTCACTTCAGGAACAGTGGTTCTTCAGCCTTTTAAAAACCTGGGGCACGTCTTTGTGATAACGCTTTACATGGTGTAGCATTCCCCCTTACCTGTATGGCACACTTTCCTTGGGCCCAACGTACTCGAAGAAGGCAGACAAAGCAGTCTGGTGGACGGGCCCCCCTGTGCCTTCTGTGTCCAATACTGAGGCCTCGGCAGTTGGTGCAGATCGGCGCTACCCCCCTGGTGAGGAAATACGTGGACGGTTTTCCGATACACGCACAGCATTCCACGGGGTCCGGCTTTCTGCCCCCAGGTCATGATTTTATGTTGTTACGTGAGGTCGTCTTGAAAAAGTCAAATCAAGTCAACATCAAGACCGCTGTTTGCGTCTGTTTGATATTTATGGGTTGTGTTTCCTTTATAAAGTTGACCGGGTTGGTTTCTTAACTGTTTTTTTTTTTTTTACAATTTTTCAAATTAACATCGACAAAGTAGTAACTGTATGCTGGCGGTTTTCAACCAGTGTGCCGCAAGAATCTTTAAAACAGGCAGCCCCTGACTGTTTCGTCAGGGGCGCTGACCTCTTTTCCCTTAAATTGTCAGATAAAAACATGATACCAGCCAACACAACAATAGCCACCCAATGGGAGCGCCCAGTCTCGAACCAGGAATACATGTCATGCAGTAGAGTGGCATCTTACCGGTCACGTCACATAATAAGGTTGCGTCTGATTGGTTAATGCGCGGTGCCAGAAAGCCTTGCATACAAGGGCCGGCACCTTAACTTTTGGAAAGTCCCTTGGGAGCAAAAAATGTGTAGGTGATTATGATTATTGTAAAGTCATCAAAACTATACCTAACTTTTGCCACATGGGCAAAAAGTGCATTTTTGGCGTGCCACCGAATTTTGGACATCGGTCGATGTGTGCGGTGAGACGGTCAGGCCGGAGCGGCCGAGGCCGGAGCGCTCCGCTGGGGTTTTCCTGCCGGGGCTCGCCCCGCGGGATTGATCAGGAATCTCCGGAATCTTTACGCGGGGGGGCCCCAGGTCAGCGACCTCCCGAAACCCGTGGCAGGAGCTGCGTGCACAGTCCACACTTAAAACGAGCTGCTTTTTGCCACGTCGCCTGCAGACACAGCTTGGGAAAATGTGGCCACAGCCGTGCCGTCAGCGGGGCCCCCCGCTCCACACGGCGAGGCGCGCTCCCCGTCTGCTCCGCGGCCCGGGTTGAGTGGCGGCGCTGGGGGCGAGCGCCGACGCAGGGCGGGGCGGCACCTCCCCGCAGGTGCGCCGGCCACGCATCCCGGCGCCGGCAGCCTGCCCACCCGGCCCCCACGGCGTGTGCTGGGAGGTGCCGACACTTCAGATGCCACCCTGCCCCGCAGCGCAGCCAACCGCATTCACTGCTGAAAAAACTGTGTGTTTTGCACTGCACACCCAGACGCCTTGGAACCAGCAAACCGATCGAAGGAAACACAGAATCTTAGCATCCTGTGTACGACAAAATCGTTTATCTGTCTGCTCAGGTGAAACCCAGCAAGTCCGTGGGTTTCACTCTCATGAGCGTGCAGAACTAGAAGTGCGGTCTGCAGCTGCTGCGGGTCGTGAGTGGAAGGCTGGTTCAGCTCAGTCAGTTACTTCTGAAGAGCTAGACCATACACATTTTTCCCTCACCGTTTTCCAGATCCTCCCATCAGACTTAGAGACAGTAACCAACATGCCCCAGCACCAAGCCTGCTCAGGGTGGTCCCAAGCACGCCCAAGGAGCCACAGTGTCCAGTACATGACCTGGACGGGCAGAGAGAGCGAACTCACGAGGCCCCCCGCCCACCCGGCCCCGGACTCCCCTGTCCCGCCTGCTGTGGGCCGGCCCAGGTGCACCTGGGGCGTGGAGTTTGTTCTGAGCACCAGATGATTGACAACGCGGGGGTGCCCGCAGGCGGGCGTTCCTGGGAGCGGGTAGTGGCGGTTGTTGACGTCACAGGACACAGCGATGACGACGACGACGGAGACCGTTCAGGTGGACAACGGGGGGACTTGGAAGGGTCCCCCAGAGCCTCGCCAGAGAGCGGGGCGAGCCCGGCCCTGGGCCGCTCTGCGGGTGGGCTCGAGGACCAGGACGCGGACGAGGCGGGGCAGCGTCCTGTCAGCGTCCCCTGCGGGAGAACCGTCCTGGCCTCACGTGAACGGCGGAAGGGCCGCCCCGGGCAGCGGTGGGTGCAGGGCTAGAGGTCCCCGGGCAGGCGTCTGACGGCGACCTACGTGGGGTGTTGGTCCTGGGCATCCGGTTTCTGGACGGAAGTCAGGTGGGGCAGGCCGTGTTCATGGTCCACTCTGGCCCCTGCAGTTCTCTGACCGCAGGAGTGGGCCTCGTCTTAGGAAAGGATTCCTATAAAATGCTAACGACCTTTCTTCTTTGGGGGAAGAGAAGGGATCACGCCGTTAGAAATCTGGCACTTTTGTTGTGGAGCACACTAAATAGGAAGGCACTGGTCTTTTTCAGAGCAGCCTATTTGTAACTAAACTAAGTCTCTCCCTCACAACTGTCCGTCCTCTGGCCCAGGGTGGACAGTTTTGAGTGTTTTCAGAAACACAAGCCGAAAGCCGAAAGCCGAAAGCAGGCGGTTTTAAACACAAGCAGACCTGTTTCACCCCCTTTTGCGTTTTCGGAGAGTGGAAACCCCTTGCGGGTTTCTGTGCGCAAGGTGCAGGGAGCCCCGCTGGCCCTGGGCGACCTCTGGGGACACGGTTGACCACGTGACCGACCCGAGAGCTGAGAGGGCAGCTCTGGGCCGTCTCCAGCAGGTGTATGAACGTTACAGTTCAACAGGCGTCTTTATCCACTGTGGGCCGGAGTTCTGTGCGGAGCAGCTGCTGTTCTTATCGAAAGAACCAGGGTCGGGAACTGTGCGCAGGAACCGTGGGCACCTTTGCCACTCACCTGTTCGTCCTGGTGCCTGAGGAAGGGGTGTGTCTGTGTGTTCTAAACCCTAAACCCCCGCGTGGCAGGGGGGCCCCTGCCCCCCAGACCACAGCCTGCCCACATCATCGCACCCCCTTGGTGATGCTCCTGGAAGACAGTCAAGGAGGAGACGCCCCAGAAGAGGAGGCCCACGTTTCAGAAATCACGCCGCTGCTTCTCTGCTCGGAGACCACCGCGCGGCAGCCAAGGCGATGAGGCGGGGACCAAAGACCTGGCGGTTCTGGAGAGTGCTCACCTTCCCCCAACGCGTGGTAACATGCCCGTTCATTTTTCCCCCAGGCACCCACAGCATAAGTCTGTCTTGTTCCCGAGCAGGGGTTAGAGGTCCACGTGGTCGCTGGTGACAGAGTGGGCTGTGACCACGCGGTGCCCCACCGAGAAACACTCTGAAGTCCCCTTTCTGGCCTGCTGGGGGACCAGGGCCGGCCGCTGGGGCACCACGCGGGGCTGGAGGGCAGAGACCGTGTGCCCTCCGGAGGGTCACCAGCGGGGCCACGGGACCTCTAGGGCGTCCCGTAAGGAAGCAGACGTGTCGCTGCTGGGAACTGAGCTTCTCCCCCGATCGCGTCGCCCGTCAGCTGGGACGGCCCCGTCCGGTGGGACGTGCTCACGTGCTCAGCTCAGCCTCACCCAGGAAGACGTTTCGTGGCCGTGGACGCAGATGCCCCCATGGGGGCTAGCTAGCATCTCCCCCATCAGAGTGATCTTCGCTGGAAATGAAACCCTGCCAGGGGCCACGGGTCCTGACGAAATCATGTGAAACTTCTCTTCCCTCCGCCCCGGCCGGGCCGGCTGGCGTGGGGTGGGGGGCGGAAGGGAGGCAGGTAAGCAGCGGAAGAGTAGGTCGGCCGCGCTGCCCCGCACCCCGCCGGCGTCAGTCCGCCAGCAGGGGCTCCCTCCCTCCTCCGCCGCGCACACGGCCGGCCCCTCGAGCCCACGAGGCCCCCGCACCGCCTCCAGTGCCCAGCGGGCCCAGCGAGTGGGGGAAGCCGGGAGGAGACGGAAGGAAGATCTTCTAGGGCGAGCTGTGTGGGCTGTGTAGAAACAGCACTGGAATGTGCCGGTGGGCTTTTCAGGGAACAGACGCACGGCCGGGCCTGTTCCTTGTGACCGCCCTTGCCCCGGGGCCGATCGGAGCACCGGGTGTTTGCCTGTGGCCGCCTCTGGGCGTCCTGGCTGAGTGGGCACCCCGTGCCCTCTCCTGGGTCTTGGGTCACAACCCCCCCCCCCGATACAAGGAATCACCTGGCCAAGGCTTCTCTTCCTGCCGTGGCCCCAGATTTTTGTGGGGGACACATGACACGCTCACCCCGTGCCCGAGGGCCTGTGTCTTCACGGCAAAGCGGACTTCACAAACCCTCTCTCGAAGCTTTCTCCAGGGATGTGGTAAGGCTGGATCATTTTTGCTTTTTTTTTTAGGCTATTTGGTAAAAACAAACTGAAGAGAACGTTTTCCCGGGGTAAGAACAGAGACATGATCAGAAGGGCACCGTGTCCGAGGCCCCGGGGCAGGCAGGCGGCGGGCGAGGGGCGAGGCCCCTCCCGTCTGCCCTGTGGAGACGGAGCTGGACGGTGGCCGCCCTGAGTCAAAGGAACAATAGCCACATGGCACGTCCCCGTGGAGGGGGACGGCCCGGCCCGGTCGGCGCCACCGGGCCCTGGCTGATGGCGCGGGAGGAGGTGCCGTCCTCACCGAGGGGTCTGAGGCCCCCCTTCCTCCCGGGGCTCGGGCTGGGCTTGGCCCCCGGGGCCCGGCACCCTGACCGTGCGCGTGTGTGTGTCTGTTCTGGTCTGTCCCCCTGCAGGGCTCTCAGCATGGCGGCTCGTCCACCTCCCTGGCGTCCACCAAGGTCTGCAGCTCCATGGACGAGAACGATGGGCCGGGAGAAGGCGGTGAGCACGGGGCTTCCTGTCGGAGCAGAGCCCTCGCCCGCGGGGCCGGGGTGGGGGCCGAGCTCGGGCGGTGAGATGTACACCCCCCCCTCCGGAAACTGTAGCCCCTCCCGCAGAGTGAAGGGGCAATAATAGCAAGGGGGTAGGGCTGGCCGTGCCTCCTGCCAGCCCCAGCCTCCGCTCCGTGGGGACAGGGAGGGCGGTGACAGCCGGCCAGCTGTAGGGAACCCAGATCCTCCCAGCGTGTGAGTGGCCTCAGCCGGCCAGCTGTAGGGAGCCAAACGGAGTCACTCCGGCCTCCGTGTTCCCAAGGCCCGCTCACGTTCAGCACCGCCCCCCCCCCCGCCCTCGGTGTACTGGGACGGCCCTGCCCACGGGCTGTAACCGCAGGGACCACGGCCCATGCAAAGTCGGATTTACGGAAAGAATGAGCTGATGACAGTGGCGAAAATATTCTCTGTACCTTGAGATAATTCACCTGAGAACTTCCCCGGGATGCGGTCACAGCTGTGGTCAGAGGACCTTGACCCAGAGCTGCCGTGTCCATGGGCTCCCGGGGGGTTTTGGGTAGTGAGAGCCTCTCCAGCCCCCCTGCCTCCCTTCCTCTTCTGCCAGACGGGGACGCCGGCGCCCTCTGCGGGCCCACAGGTCCCATCAGCCCCGGGGAGGTATTTAGAAAAATGGATAGGACCGAACCGCTGAGCGAGAATCAGCTCCCCGCATTTGTTTTAGATGATTTGACCGAATTTCCCCGAAAAGTACCGTACGAGGGGGGTGCTGGGGAGGGGAGCCCAGTAATTACGTCAAGTGAGATAAGTGATTTACTCAGGAATGATTTCCCCACGGCCATGGCATATCAGAATTTGTTTAGTATTTCCAGAAGCCTGAACCCAGCCTTCCGGAAGTCTCTCTGGTTCCAACGCATCATAGTTCCCTCGTGACATGCAAAAGTGCATGAGTAGGCCAGCCCTTGGCGAAGCTTTCGTGGGGACAGACACCCGAGGGACACGTTCTACCCGCAGTCCGAACGCCGGCACTGCCGCGGGAGGGCAGGGGGGCGGCCCCTTCTCCCCTCTCCCTCTCCCCTCTCCCGTCCCACAGCCCAGGACGCCGGCTCCCCCGAGTCGCGTCCCGAAAAGCCCGAACGAACAGCAGGTCCTCTGAGAGGCGGTCGTGAACTTGGGTGCTTTGCAGTGGGCTTGACACTGCTCCCACCATCTCTAATTCCCACGGAGTAGAAAACAAAGCAGACAGACAAAAAATCCCAGGCTGCGTCTTTCAGTCAGGCACCATTGTTGGCTCCTTTGGGGGAGAGAGGATGGGGGTGGGGTTCGTGGGCTCCAGCCCTGTCTGTGCTCCGGAAACCACCGTGAGAGGTTCCCGTGAGGAGGCCGCAGGAGCCCCACGCGCCCCGTCCCCGGGGGGGGCCGACCGAGCTCTCTCTACCCCCCAACCCGAGTCAGGGGCCCCCGAGCAGCTGTCTGACCATTTCGAGTTTCTATCCGTCACTCCCCGTCGATAACAGACTAAACGAGAACACAGAACTCACGGAGGAAGCCCCGAGGTTTTCGTTTTGTTTGGAGAAGAGATGTTCAGTCTCGGTTTACGGTTCAAGGTCAGAGGAGGGGCATGTTGCGAGGGCGCACCCCACCCCCTCTCGCACCCAGGCTGCCCGGGGCAGGCGGGATCTGTAACTCCGGAGCATGTAAATTTTAGAGCCCGGCCGTAAAAGGCTCTTTACGCCCCTGAGATGTTAAAGGTTGCCCAGCGTATTTACGTGACCCAAAGTGTGGCTTACTCAGTTTTACGGCCCTGAATGCATAAAGCGTTATTAGGCATTTGTAACGAACTTCAGAATGCATCGGAAGGGGGGCAGTGTGTTGTGTTAGTGGCACTCAGGTCATTGAAACGACAAAGCTGCGCTGTTCGCAGACACCATAGATGCCGCAGTTTTCTCCCAACATCTGCGCGGCAGGTTGCTGGGGAGAACTCGGTGTAGGGTCAGCTCATCGACACGGGCAGGGGTGGCCGTGGGGGCTGCGTTCCCACGGAAGTTTCCGGAGACCTCCCTTTCAGGAGGGAGTGAGGCTCAGGGCGCCCACGGCAGGCACTTTCCCGCGCAACGTCTAGCCACAGTGTTGGGGGGTGTCCCTCCAGACCTAGAGATGGCCTTTCCCCGCATGCAGTGCGTCTGCCGTCAGTGCTGTCAATCAAACTGACGCGGCACGGAGAGAGCCCCCGTCCTCCGCAGAGGCCCCTGCGCAGAGAGCCCGCGCTGCGGTCACACATGCGGGCGCGCGCCTCGGCCCACGGATGAGGTCGCAGGGAGCGCACAGTGTCAGCAGAGGGCGCTGGCCTCGCTGTCTGGAAAAGGACCTCCGTTCCCCAGGGGGTCCCGTCTGTTCCGCGGTGCGGGCCGCTGCCTCCTCTGCGCCGCGCCCGCGCCCGTGGCCCCACCAGTAAACGCGCACCATCGCTTCTTCCAGAAGCGGCGGAGGAGGGCTTCCAGATCCCGGCCACCATCACGGAGCGGTACAAAGTCGGGCGGACCATCGGAGATGGCAACTTCGCCGTCGTCAAGGAATGCGTGGAGAGGTGAGGAGGCGGCCGCGCGCGCGCGCCCTGGGCGGGAAAGGAAACCCCGGGGCCGCGTTTTCCGGGATCGCGTCTCTTTCTGCCGTGGGCGGACACAGGTGGGATCGGTTAGTGCCTGGGGCCCAGATGTAAAGGAAAAAAAAAAAAAGAACTGACAAATGTAGTGATTCCTGGGGACAAGCTATAAATTGCGGACTTTGATTTTTCTTTTTAATGTACTCAGCAAGACTTTGCCAGGTTTTCAGGTAAGTCCTTTCATTTTGTTCAAAAAAGATGTATGGGCACTTGGAGTAATTTTTTCCTGTACTCTCTTTCAGGCATTTTGTGGAGATCAGACATTCTTGGGTAGAAAATATATATATTTATGCGTACATGTGTATTATATATGTCACATGCAATCATGAAATTAGCTGTAATACCCTTGAAAGGTTTTAAAGCGAGTATGTGCTGGTCCCCGGCAAAAATGGTGCTCAGTGCATTAAAACGTCTCATCGCGAGCGAGCCAGGCCCCGTGGCCAGCCCAAGGGAAGGGTGGGGAGGGCGCGGTCAGCCCGTGGGACCTGGACACGCAGTCGAGGACAGGAGCTGGTGGCTCGCGATGGAGGGGTGGCCACTGATGGAGCTACCGCCCCGACGCAGGGGGCCGGCCTCCTCGCACCTTGAGCCCGGCGCCAGGCTGGAACCGTTTCTGTCGCATGGCTGCTGGCTCTCAGTGGCAGCGTCTCCTCGGGGCTGGGCGAGCAGAGTGTGGGAACGCAGGGGGAACCCCCTCCTCCCCCGCGGGAGGGAGTTGGCTGCAGGATGGGCAGGCCTCCCTGGGGCCCCCTTCTGCCCTGTGGGCCGGGGGGCGCCACCGGTGTGAGGACAGTGTGAGGACAGCGCCCAGCGGCCCTCCCCGCACGCACGTGCCCTTGCAGAGCGAACGCCAGCCCGGACTAGAAGCTGTAGCCTGAAGAAGAGCGGACCCTGCTCTTGTCGCCCGGCCTCTGGCTTAGAAGCACAGCTGGCTGGGAAGTCTGCGCCAGCCAGAGCCACCAGGACTGTCCCTGGTTCGGCCAGTGTCCCCTGATGTGCTCCACGAACCCGCTGCCACGCTTCGGAAGGGGCTTCCTCGAGGGAGGCCGGGGTGCCCTCGGGAAGCCACCCTCAGGCAGGGGACCCCAAACTTCGCTCCGCCCGCCCCACGGGCCCACCCGGTCGGGATCTTTGTTGCAGTGACAGCGCACACAGGGGCAGCCACCCTTGGTGAGGGGGCGCAGGCTGGTCACCGGTGGCTCGGGAAAGCCCCTCGCTGCCCTCTGTCCCTCTCACCCCCTCCTCGGGGCCAAGCCCGACCGCTGTGGGGTCTCTGCCAGGGGGAGAACGGGTCCCTTTATGTCCCGGGGCCGCATGCGTCCAGGACTGGAAGCTACCGCCGTGCCCTGAGCAAACGCGACACACCCTTCCCTTCCGGTCGGATGCCCCCTTTCAGCATCACGGTGGTTCCGAGCTGTCGGTGTCGTGCCTGTTCCACGCAGAGGAAGCCCGAGATCGCTCAGCTCCCTGAGTCCGCAGCCAGGCGTCCTGGGTCCGAGCCCCGCCCCGGAACCCGCCCGCCTGGCCGCTCTTCTCCACGGTCCCCAGTGCGGTGGCCCCCACAGCACGTGGCTTAGCCGAGCCGCGGCCACGCATGCTGCGTCGTGGCGTTCGTCCCTGGGCGGAGAAGACAGACACTGCACCCGCAGAGCCCCCGCTGAGGCGATGGATGGGAGTGCGTGTGCGTGTGCTCTCACGTGGCGTGTGGGTGTGCGCGTCCACTGGTGGGAGCAGGTCCGTCCCGCCGCAGCAGCAAACCCCTTGCCGTCAGCAGGTCGCCGCGCCCTTCCCCGGTGGGCAGCCGGGGTCCCTGCCGGCGTCCTTCGGCCGCTGAGTCTGGGGCGGCGGCCGGCCCCTGCCGCCGAGTGTCCCAGCGAGCACGAGGGTCAGAGCGGCGTCTCCGCTTGGCTGTCCCGGTCTCCCCCAGTTAGAGGCTCCGCCTCTCTCCACCCAGCGTGCGCTGCTCTTCCCAGTCCGGGCGCGAGTGTTCTGGCTGTGTCCCCGCTCTGGGCCGCACGGTCCGAGCCGTCGGAGTCTAAACGCCAGACTGCCGCCGAAAGTGTCCCTGCCCCCTCCCGCCGGGGACATACGGCCTGTGCCCTCCCCCCCCCCCCCCGGAGGCACCAGGAAACATTCCGTTAATAGTTTCCAGAGTTTCCGAGGAAGCCAAAGCAGGCCGAGGACGCTGGGGACCGCACCCTGAGAGCGGCGGGGACCTCCTGCCGCAGTTTGAAGGGTGCATGTGTAGGAACGAGAGCAAGGTTGGCTCTGCTCTGTCCCGGGGAGCGTTTTCCTGCCACGGTGGCCTCAGTAACAGTCCTTCCCCGGCCGTCCCGTCCACGGTCCCACGCCAGCTCCTTTCCTCAGCGGCTGCCACCCCCAAGCGGCCTCAGGAGCCCCCAGGACACGCCTGAGGCAGGCGGGCAGTGGGCAGAGGCGAGCTCTGTTGGGAGCTGTTTGCTGCAGCGTCTGAGGCCCCGGGGAAAAGGCGAACAAAGCGCCAGCAGGCACCAATGAGGGTCGCGTGCGGAGCCCAGCGGGGGGCTCCTGGGGAGGCACCCTCGCCTCCGGCCTCCCCGGCCCTTCCTGGTCTGACCACCGCGTGAGCCAAGGGTCGAGTGGTGCGGTCAGTAGCGGCGACAGGTCCCCACGGGCTCTCGGGCCTCAAGAAGGACCTACCTGCTGTTCAGAGGTGTGTCCTGCAAAGTTGGGGGGACTAGGAAATGAGTGGGGTGAACAGCTTCGATGCTGATGGTACTCCCCCCCTCCCCTTCCTGGGGGTGCTCTGGCGCCCGATATCCTAGGGCCGAGTTCAAATTCAGACTGCAGCCCCACTCCGCAGATGTTAGACTAGGGGTGTGTCAGCTCTCTGCCCTTGGCAGCGCCCCCCCCGACCCCCGGCCCCAGGGAGGCTGAGCTGTAGCTCCATTGTCATTACCTGGGGACAGAGTGGGCTGCCGACTGACCCTCTCTGCTGAGGGCCACTGTCCTCGCCGCCTCTGTGGCCTGGAGTGCCCACCCCTGTGTTCACTGGTCTGCAGCCCCCGCCGGCTCAGGCCCAAGCTGGGCATGTCTGGGCCGCACAGGGAGCCAGACGGCCCCTCCCCTGCGGAACCTGCCCCCACAGACGGTTGCCTCAAGTTCAGGAAACGCCACGGCGGAGGCAGCCACGGTGGAGGGATGCTGTGATTACCAAGCTGCTCGTCCCTTTCCAGGTCCACAGACGATTTTTAAAACCTTCCCAAACACAGCAGCTACGACAGAAAGCACATGGGCTGGGGCAGCTGTGTCCTTGTCGGCCCCTCCCTCCCCCGAGCACCCTTCTGCCCCCGGGAGGGAGGGGACAGGGGGCTGGCTGGGGTTGAGGACCACCATGTCAGACGAGACGGATTCTCCAGACCGTCCTCAGCTCGACCATTGGAAACTAGATTCGGTTTGCATGGGGGACGTTCGGAAATTTCCCCCCAGCGGTTCGGGCCCTCACCTTGGGTCGAACTCAGTTGGGAGGGGACCGCACACCCCGCGTTTTCACAGTCCAGAGGGAAAAAAAACTTGTGCTGCGGCTGCGGCCGCGGCCGTGGTGGTCAGGGGCCCCCGGGTCCGGCGGGGGGCAGGCAGGCGTGCGACTTCAGGAACCAGAGATTCAGGTGTTTAGGGCTCTTCTCAAGACACCGGACCACGGGCTCCTTGGGGACGAGGGCCGGGCCTCCCTCCCCTCCGCACCTGCTTGCAGCTGCTCGCCGACCAGTCACAGGGCCGGGCGCCCCCTCGGAGTTCAAGGTGCGCGGGAAGGCGGACGCTCTTCTGCGGGGTTTAGTTCTCTCCGAGTGTTTTCACTTAGCGGCTCAGAGCAAGCGGTGAGGTTGTTATTACATGGCACCCGTTCGGCCTCACACCTGTTGGGGGTGGGGGACGTGGTAGCTTGTTTTCCAGACTCGGCTCCTCTCCCATAAACAGGCGCGTCCAGGAGTGAGGATCGAGTTCTGACTCTGTGGTTCTGCCCTCGAGGAGCTGGGCAAGGACACCGGTGGGGTTGATGTGGGCACCCCCCCCCCACGGGGTTCGTGGTCTGACCTACAAAACGGCAACAGCTAAGGGCGTGTGTGGTCCTGCCGTGTCAGATTCGGGGTAGGGGGCCCAGGAGGCCCTCTCTCCTAGGAAGCCAGGGGCCTCTGCAGCTCGGGCCTCAACGCATCTCCCCGCGGGCTGGGCGTCCCGGGGGCCAGGCCACCGGCGGACTCCCTGGGGGTCCTGCTCCTCGTCTGGGGGCTGCAGAGGGGCTCCGCCTTCCTGGGTCCCGCACCAGCCCTTTGCTTTGAGTGCTTCGGCGTTCCTCACTCCACGGGAACGGAGGGGGAGATGGCCAACGTGGGGACACCCCTCCTCTCCCCGCCCCACACCCCCTTCCGTCCCCCCACCTGCTGGCAGTGTGGGACAGGAATGGGGCATCGGCTCTGGCCCCCCTCCCTGCCGGCTCTGGGACGGCCAGCCCTCGCATCCAGACTTGCCCGCCGTCCCACGGAACCTTCTCCACCAGCTAGGAAGTGGCTCGGGATTCTAGCCACGGGTTGGCGTGACCATAATCTTTCCAGTGATTCTCAAACAACGGAACGCAGACATGCTTCCACTCTTAGTTTCCCTCTCGATGTCGGACTCTTGAGTCTGCAGACAGAGTCTTCAGAAGCCTCGCGAGAGGAGGCTCCTTCAGGGCCCGCGGAGTCTGCTGCGGTGCGAGGAGCCCCTTTGCTCGTAGTTTTGTTTCTCATGAGCCTACCGGCCCGTACATTTTGCATTTCTGATGCTCGGTCTTTCGTGTTCCCGCTTACTGAAGCGTCTTTCTCCCCGCTGCACCACGGCCTGGCTGATGGTCTCGTGTTTGGGGGGACAGGGGGGCACGTTGAGCACCAGGCCCAGCACCTGGCCGAGGCCAGCTCCCGCGTGCTCCATCACCCCCTGTCCGCACGGCGGGGGCCTGAAGGACCGAACCAGCCCAGGGCGCCTGCAGCCCCTCTGCCCAGGGCCCCGGGGGGTTAGAGGGAGGGGCTGCCTTGTCCCGTCTGGTCTGAAAAGCCCCCTCGAGGAGAAAATAGGCTTCCACGAGATTATTTTATTCTGTTTTGATCACCCGATGTAATCACAAAATTCGGCCCACATTTATTCTTCTGCGAGCTGGCGCCCCAGGAGGCCTGGGACGGTGACGGGAGACGCGTGTCCAGAAGCAAACCAGAGGGCCGGTCTGGCTGACCTGCCCCCAGGACACAGACCGACGCCCGGCCTCCTGGCCGGCTCACGGCCTGCCGCCTCTCCCCCTCCACCCGAGGGGCTGGGAGGCCCCTTTGATTTTGCGTGCCGAGGACTTTGAAACCCTGCTTCAAGATGCCGGTCTCTGCCCGCCTCCCTCCCACTGGGTTCACATGGGTCCTGACAGTTGGCTTTGCCGGCGGGGAAGAGGCCGGCCGCCCTGTTTCCCACCAGAAATGAAGGGGCGTGGCCCGTCACGTAGGGCCGAGATTATGATCACCGTGTCTGTGCGGTGTCCTCTGGCGGTGCGCATGCGGTGGCTGCCACCTCAGTCCTGGTCGTGCAGCTCGGGAAGCTCTTTACCAGTGGCCGGGTGGTCAAACCTCCCCCTGCCATGTGTCACAGAGGTGGGGCGGGGTAGGTCGGGGTCTGTGGGAACCAGGGACCCCAAAAGCTCCTGCTTGTGTGGCCATCACGGCCCTGTGACTTCAGAGGGTGAGTTGACTTCACTGTCACCTCCGTTGCATTTCTGTGGCAAGGGGCAGCCATCGCCCGAGAGGCCGCAGGACGCCCGGGTGACGGTCGTGTCCCTGTCTGTGCCACAAGCACGTCGGCCGTGGGCTGTCTGGCCAGCCTCACAGGCTCGCACCCGGAACCCACGTCTACAGAGTGCGAGCTGCTCCTCAGGGCTTCCGGCGAGACCGTGCATGTGGCCCACTCCGGAAACGGCCACGGCCACCCCCCACCCCGGGGTAGCGAACCTCCGAGAGGCTGGGAGGAGGAGGGGCAGGAACGCACAGCCGTCTCAGGCCCCGGCTGCCGCGGGGCAGGAGCCACGCGGGCCGGGAGGAGAGCGGCGGTGTCGGGACGGGTGTGGTCCCGCAGGCCACTCCCCGTGTTTCCACACGAGCGTGCGTGCCGTCTCCACGCTTGCTTGGTCCCTGAGAGTTTACCTGTTTCTTGGGAAAAAAAAGAGTCATTCACGAAATAAGTACACCATGAGGCAAAGCCTGTGGGATAGGCGAGGCATCCTTAACAAGAGGATCCACTCTATCTCAAATTAAGTGTATTAAAAAATTTTTTTTCTCATTGCAGGTCGACGGCTAGGGAGTACGCTCTGAAAATTATCAAGAAAAGCAAATGTCGAGGCAAAGTACGTGTGAGGTTTACTCTTGGGAAAGCTCAGGGCCGGGGTGGAAAGAAACACAGAAGCGAGCTCCCCAACAAGCCAGACGCGTCCCAACGGCTGCCTTTGGGCGGACAGGGAGCCCCAGACCAGCTAGACGTTACCTTTACGACGGTCCTGGGACAAAGGGGGCTGGAATGATGGGGCGTGGCTTTCCCTCCTCCCCCTCACTTGCTTGTTTGGCTGCTTTCTCCCGTCACTCCTGCCATCTCAGGCTCCGTTCCCCGCTCCCACGCGGGCTTGAGGAGGGTGCGATAATTTCTGAAATCACCCGTATCGTCTACAGACCTTCCACGCCCGGGGGCCCTCTGGGCGACCCAAACGGCGGAGCCCGAAAAACGCCCCTCGTGTTTCGCCCCCCACCCTCCCGAGTGCCCCTCCCTCGGCCTTCGCGTGGCCCCCGTCGCTCCCCTGCGGGGCGAGCGCTCGGGCGTGCCTGCTGAGCCCTTCTCGCCCCGGGCAGGAGCACATGATCCAGAACGAGGTGTCCATCCTGCGGAGGGTGAAGCACCCCAACATCGTCCTGCTGATCGAAGAGATGGACGTGCCCACGGAGCTGTACCTGGTCATGGAGCTGGTGAAGGTGGGCGTCTCGGGGAAGAGGGGTGGGCCCCACGGGGCCCCGCCCTGCGCTGTCCTGGGCGACAGTCACGGCGCTGTGTTTCCCCCCCCCTGCGGGCACCGGCGTCGTGGTTGCCGAAGCGCATCAGTGTTAGGGCGACGCCGCAGAGTCCACGTCCTGGCCTTGACCTAATAGCTCCCCGACCTTGACCTGGGGGTGCCCCTCTGTGCCTCAGTCCCCTCGTGTGTGCCTGCCCAGGAGTGACACACTGTGGTCAGGGGAGGAGTGGCTGGCACCGGTCGGTGGGACACAGGAAGTGCTGGTACTGATACGGCCGAGGTCGTTGTCACAGCAGAGACCGCTCACTCCCGGGAACCGCGGCCCCTTCCCGTGCAAACGAGCTCTAAGTGTCGGGTCACCGATCTACCGGGAGAACGGCACAGTCCCTGTTCTTCTCGCGCCCGCGCATCCCGTTGGCCTGATGACGGTGCACGTGATGGCTGTCTGGTCTCGGGGCGTCGTCGGGCAGTCCCACCGCCTCCTGCGTCCACTGCGGGTGCCGCTGGGCCTGGACCCACCCTCGGGCTGGGGCAGGGACCAGCACTGCCCACGACGGGGTCCTTTTTTTTCCTTATCCGCACCTGAAGACATGCTTATTGGTTTTAGAGAGGGGGGAGGGGAGGGGGGGGTGGGGGAGAAACACCAATTGGTTGCCTCTTGCATGCACCCTGATTGGGGACCGAACCTGCGGCAGAGGCATGTGCCCCGACTGGGGGTCGAACTGGCGACCTTGTGGTTTTCGAAACGACACCCCGCCCGCTGAGCCACACGGGCCAGGGCTGGGGTTTCTTCTTGTAAAGATTTAAAACGAAGAAAGCATTCGATAAACTCACCTGTGACCTTGTAGAAAGCTGGTCATTCTAGGGCCTGTAAGCTTGCCTTGTTCAGAGTTGCTTTACTTCCGATCTGTTGGTGTCATTTTCAACTTAGTGGTTGTTTGTATTTATGGTGGAGACTTTGTTTTTCTTTACTTCAGGTGACCACTCGTTTCTTTCAGATTAGTGGGGGCGTGTGTGCAGTGACACAGGGTCTCCGGCCCGTCTGAGGCCGGGGGCGGGGGGGGATGGACATGTGGGAGGGGTACTCCGGCAAAGAAAGGTTCACCTCCCTGAGTCAGGAGGTGTGGGTGTCAGCGCTGTATCACCATATAGAGTGTGGTGGTTGGTTACCAACGGTGTGCGTTATACTTTCTCTAGTGCCCAGGATAGAATTTTTTAAAATTATAATACTATTTTTAAAGGTTTTATTTACTTATTCTTAGAGAGAGAGGAAGGGAGGGAGAAAGAGAGGGAGAGAAACATCCATGTGTGGTTGCCTCTCTCACGTCCCCTGCTGGGGGCCGGGCTGGAAAGGATAGCGTGATTCCAGTGATGCTGATTTTGAGCCCCCGTGCCTCGGCACCACCCCCGCCGCCCCTGTGACTCGGCGGTCAGCTCCCTGCCCGGGAGCCTCAGAAGGCTGCGCGAAGTTCAGGTCGGAGGGGAGACACACACGGGGCCCAGGCTCAGCAGCTCAGAACACAGCGGCAGGGAGACTTGGTCCACCCGTCCCAGGCCGCGTCTGCCGACCACGGCTAAGGGCAGCTAAGGAAGTCCTCCCGCCGCCGAGCGGGTGCGGCGAGTTTCCTCTAGGTGGGTGACCGACGGAGTGTCCCCGGGCCAGAGAGTGTCTGTGTCCACAGAGCCCAGCGTGGGGCCGCCAGGCCCCGCCCCTCAGTGCAGCCTGACCCAGGGCCACGGGGGGGGAGGGGGGAGGGGGGCCAGGTCTGGAAGGGAAGGCGTGGCCCAAAAGGTGCCCATTGTGCCCCCCCTCAGCGATTTCACTGGGGCTGCACTTCTCAACGCCCGAGGGTCCCGCCCCGTGCCCAGGAGCGCCCGCAGCGACAGGACACGCCAGGCCGGCGCTGCGGAAGACGGGGAGGAACCATGATTAGGGCCCCATCCCGTGATTGTTCAGGGCGGGACCTGAGACCCCGGCCTGCGGGCGGCAGGGCGCCCGTGCAGACCGAGGAAGGCAGACCCGGTCAGGGAGCGGCCTGGGCACTGAGCATGGGGTCGCGGGACTACCGGGAAGGAGCTCTGACGAGGACAGGCTGGGCCACAGAGTGGCGGGGGCTGGTCTGGGGGCCGGGGTCACGGCGGGGCAGGCAGCAGCAGGAGACACGAGGTTGGACGAGGCAGAAGGAAGCGCGGGGGCCGGACGCGCGGAGCCGTGGGACAGACGGCCGGCCCCTCCAGGAGACACGGGAAACGCACACCCACAGGCCACCGCCGCGTGGGAAGGAGACAGTCAGTGTGGGGGTGCCGCGGGCACGGAACCGCGGGGGCAGGGCAGGCCGGCAGCCAACCCAGCAACCCGGGACGAAGCCACAGAACGAATGTCCACCCCCTGGGACCTGCGACGGGAGGGCCTGGGGGACGGCCCCCGCACGCCCTGAGGGAGGGGCTGGCTGCCTTCCCGCTGCTGCTCCGGGGAGGGAGCAGAGGGATGAGGCTCCCGGAGGCCCGGAGCCCGGGTGCCTGGGGCAAGGCCTGGGGCTTGCAGCCGGCCCAGGGCTTGCAGCCGGCCCTGGACAGTCCCGCACCCGTCCCACCGCACTGGGGGCTGTCCACACACCTCAGTGGGGATCCCCCCTCCCCGGGGTGAGCCCCCGAGCCCCTGCACAGCGGCGTCGGCTTTGAGAAGGACGGGGAGTCCAAAGAGAGGGGGTCCGTTCCGAAAATGACATCAGTGCTTCAGCAGCTGGGGACCGGCTGGGGACGGTGGGGGGTGGGGGGGGGCCTGCTGAGTGGGGACCGCGTGGGACAAAGGTCAGGCCGCGTAGGGACTGGGAAATTGTCAGCCTAGTTAACAAGAAAAGTCACGACGCCGCCACCCCAGGGAGCCGACGAAGCAGCCGTGTACGGTTGCTCAGCCGCGGGGCAGGCGCACTGTCTGACAGGAGAAGGACGCAGACGCTGTTCCCCGGTCAGACCCGGGTTTTCCGACCCGGTTCAAATACACAGAACGGAGAGGGGAATGTAGGGTCACTCTGTTTCACCGAATAACGGTAGGTCAGCAGGGAGCACGGCAGACAGAAGCTCAGGTGGATGTGAGGGGAGACCCCCCAAAACCCAGAATTATCTTCTGGAGGGCGGGCCCCTTGTAGGGCAGGCTTCCCCCGCTAGGGGAGCGTTCTAGGAGCCCATCTGAATCCGTGTGCTAGCTGGCATTGCTGTGAGAGGCTGTGTTCTGTTCCAGCAAATTTCTTTGGTAGACACTTTCAACACATTTGCCCGTTTCAAGATGGGCGATTTGGGAGCGCACCTGCCCACACCAGGCTGCGTGTTCAGCAGTTTCTGACCAAAAAAGGCATGACCCCCGGGCCCCACCCTCCCCATTCCCCCATCTCGGCCTGGGCGACTTTTATTTCTGCTTCCCCGGCTGAAAAAAAGTTCCCAAGGGAAGCGTTCTGCCGATGTGGACGAGGTGAGACAAAGAACGGCAGAAGCACGAAAAGGCACCGACATCGATGAGGCAAACACATTTGGGCGGTGGGGAAAGTCTCGATGTGCGTTTTGCATCAGACGGAGAACGCTTTGAGGATGACTGACGTTTAAACGTGTGAGAACAAATGCACGATTTTTATAAATAAATTCTGGGCTTTTGGGGGGTCCCCCCTCGTAATGTTCCAGGAAACCTCCTTTGAAATTCCTCCCCCCTCCTCCCTCTCTGTCTCACCTTGGAAATGGCAGTTTCTGGTCCTTTTCTCTGCTTCTCCCAGAGAAGCGCGCTATCGAAAAAGGAAACACCCTTGCCCCGACCCGCCCAGAGGGCTAAGGGAGTCAGGGGTGTGGATTTCCCGGGGCACGAGGCTGCCCTTTGCATTGTTCCCTGTTCCGCACTCGGGGGGTTCGGGTGCTTCTGGGGGTTGGGGTGAGGCACCTACCACGTGCCACAGGGACACCCGGGTGTCACAAGGCCTCTGCCCCCCACTGGCTGGGGCCTGGGGGCAGAGACCCCTCACCAGCTCCTCCCTTCGGGCGCTGGAGGGACGCTCCTGCCTGGTGAGAGCTCCGTCAGGTCAGAGCGGAAAGGGGCGGGGAGGCCCGGGGCACCCGAAGGCCCTGCTCGCCGGCCCCCTGTCCCGAGAGCCTGCGGGTCCCTCTTCGGGCAGCGCCCGGGGACGTGCGCTGACCCGCCGCCGGCCGGTCTCTCCCCAGGGAGGAGACCTGTTTGACGCCATCACGTCCACGAACAAGTACACGGAGCGCGACGCCAGCGGGATGCTGTACAACCTGGCCAGCGCCGTCAAGTACCTGCACAGCCTCAACATCGTGCACCGCGACATCAAGCCCGAGAACCTGCTGGTGAGGGACGCGCGCCCCGCCCCCGCCCCCGGGGCCTCGGGAACTTCGGGGGCTCGAGGGGGGGTGGGGGGGCAGGGACGGCGTCCCTCGAGTTTCTGGTCTGTTTTCTCCGCGTTCTTCAAACGCAGTGTCTCGCAGGCCGGTCCTCAGCTGGCCCCCGGGAGCGGGCGGGCACCAGGCCCGTTCCGCCGATGCGTGAGATCACTGCGTCGCCGGGGTCACTGGCCTGTTAGCGCAGGAACCCCGCGGTGGGGGGATGCCCCCCGAACTTGGGGCGCGGCAGGGTGTCCCGCCTCTGGCGCCTCCGGGACACCCTAGGAAAGGAAGGGTTGTCTGGGGCCCCACAGTAAATACACACACACACTAATGGAAACTGACGAGCAAAAACAAAAGATTTGAAGTAAGTTGATGATGGTGCACTGGGCCGAACTCATAGGCATCCTGGGCCGGAGCGCCCGGTGGGCCACGGGCTGGACCCCCTGGTAGGGCTGGCGGGTGCTGAGGGCTAGGCCAAGGGCCAGGAGCAGCATCTATTTAGGTTGGGCTAAGGGCTCCATACTCACCGTCTCAGTGAATGCCCATGAGAACCAAATAGGGGTACCTTCCACTGCTGTGCCAGGTGACAGGGGAGGAAGCGGGGTGCCTGGGGGCTCCCAGACAGCCCCCACGGGGCAGTGCCCTCCTCTGCCCGCCTCCGGGGCCCAGGCTTGAAGGGCTGGACTGCGTCAGGCTGGGCACAGAGTGGTGGACGCCGTGGTAGCTGCGCGCCAGGTGCCGTGCCCGGGAAGAGAGACGCACGGCCTCAGGGAGGTGACGTCCGAGGAGGGAAACACAGGCGCTTAACAAATAAATACACAAGCAATTCATCCGTTCGTTAATGCAGTGACGCCAGTCATCTGGTAGCTACCGGCTAGTGGAGGCAGCCGCGGTCAGAGGCGGCCGCCTGACGCCCCCTGCACCCCGGATTCCGCGGGGGCCCCTCCGCGGAGCTGCCCTGCAAACGGCAGCCACTCTGTACCACCTGCGATCCTCCTTCCTGAATCACGTGGGGCCTTCTCGGGGGACAGACTCACAACCGGGCCTTTGTTCGAAAACTTCTCTTAGCTCCCAAAAGGCACCGAAGGAAAAGTCAAGTTTCGGTTCCCTTCCTCCCCTCGCTGGCTGGTCGGCCTGGCTTCTGGGCGGAGCGCTACCGCTTACCTGAGCGCGTGGGGGAGGGGACAGGGCCAGGCTCCGCCACCACTCCAGTCCCCGGCGCGCCTTCGGTCTCGCGCGCGGTCGGGCGTATTTTAAACGGCTCGGAAAGAAAAAGAGTTCTGTTTTCTTTCTTTTCTAGTTTGACAATGTGAAATATGTGTAGGTGCCTGAGTGCGCAGGGACACACTTTGCACCATTGCGGTCATTCAGAACCTCGGCGCACGTGCGCGAGAAACCAGAGTCAGTCTGCTTCCCCCGTGTGAGAATTTCCTGCCCTAGGGGAGTGCGAACGAGGGGTTGGAGAGGTTTGGGACAAAACAGGTGGAGGCGCAGGACAAGTTGAACAAAATTAGGACGACGTCCCCACGGCACTCGAGGCCTCTGCTAATTTCCCACTGTGTTAACCTGCACGGGAGCAGAGGGAACCGTCCTGGGGGGTTCCCACTCCCCCGCCCAGGGCTCACAGTCAGACGCCCACAGGGTCCAAGCCAAGGGCTTCGCCCTTCCTTGGGCTGCTCCTCGGACCTTGAACGAGTTACTGGACTCCCGTGAGCCTCCTTCAAGGGGACTTGGTGAAGGAAGATAAAAAGGAAACACGTAACTATGAGCCCCCTTCCTTCTTATCCCCCTTTTGTTTGTAATAAAAATTAAATTATGCCTAAAAGTAAAACTTTAACAATAAATTTGTATATTGTGAAAATGATCTTTTATCTTTCTGGACATGGCTTTTAAAGTTTACTACATGCCGTGCACGGATTTGCTCTATCATGGCCAAACATAGAGCTAAAGACTATTTTTGAAAAATATTATAATAAATTTAGTATAAAGATTTTTACTTTTATTTATTGATTTACTTATTTTTAGAGAGAGGAGAAGGGAGGGAGAGAAACATCAATGTGTGGTTGCCTCTCATGCACCCCCTACTGGGGACCTGGCCCACAACCCAGGCCTGTGCCCTGACTGGGAATTGAACCAGCAACTCTTTGGTTCGCAGGCCGACACTCAATCCACTGAGCCACACCAGCCAGGGCTAATATAAAAATGTTTTAATCTATTTTCTTATTATAGAGAAATTCACCAAATAACTAAGAAGGTCTCACTGCACAGTTTGCACTGCTGTTCTATTTAGGGGCCTCAAAAAAACTTAAAATTTTTTAGTCTACTAACAAGATTTTTACTAGTTAAGTATTTGTTATAACTAGCCAAGTATTATTTATAAATGATAAGTCAGCTCTAGATTTCATTTGATGTCGTGTGGCTGTGTGTACAGAACAACTTCAGAATTTTCCATCTTTAATTCTTATATATTCTTATAATTCCTATAATTCTTATAGGACAATATAAAAACGTTGCAGTTTGGCTGGGAGGGTCTATTGTGATCATAGGAATGATTTATTCAAGTCCAAGTATATGGCCAGGTCCATGCATTGTAATAAGAAAATATTATTTGATTTGCAGTGATGTTTCCAGCCACATTTTAGGTAAAAATTGGGAACTGAGGCAATATCAATATCTTTTACAACTTTATTATTGTATCATGACTAAGTTTTTTTTTACACAAGCTGATTATGCCAAAGATTTTATGTGGCGCATTTTGCTCTGTAGGCTGGATGCTGTGGAGGTTATGGCTGGTCTGAAAGATGCAAATAAATTATTTTCTTTTTTTACTTTTAAATTGAAAGTAAGTTTAATTTTATAGTTTATATAAAATTAACAAAATTTATATTAATTTTATACTTAATACAAATTTTATATCAAACATGAAAATTTATATTTATATGAAATTAATTACAATTATATATATAATTTATTGATTATGCTATTACAGTTGTTCCAGTTTTTTTCTCCCCTTATTCCCCCTCTGCCTTGGACTCCCCCCTGATGCCCAGCATTCCCCCCTTAGTTCATGTCCACGGGTTGTACGTATAAATTCTCCAGCTTCTCCTTTTTCTAGACTATTTTTAACCTCCCCCTGTCTATTTTGTATCTACCATTTATGCTTCTTATTCCCTGTACCCTTCCCTCCAATCTTCCCCTTCCCACGCCCCTGCTGATAACCCTCCATGTGATCTCTATTTCTGTGATTCTGCTCCTGTTCTAGTTGTTTACATAGTTTTTGTTATTGTGTTTTAGGTTCAGTTGTTGCTAGTTGTGAGTTTGTTGTCATTTTACTGTCCATCTTTTTGATATTCTTCTATTTCTTCGATAAGTCCCTTTAACGTTTCATGTCCTTCCATTCTAAATGACAACTTTGCTGGATAGAGCAATCTTGGATGGAGGTCCTTGCCTTTCATGACTTGGAATACTTCTGTCCAGCCCCTCCTTGCCTGCAAAGTTATTTTGTTTTGTTTTGTTTTGTTTTGTTTTGAGAAATCAGCTGACAGTCTTATAGAAACTCCTTTGTAAGTAACTGTCTCCTTTTCTTTTGCTACTTTTGAGACTCTCTCCTTAGGTTCACTACTTCCTTCCCTTCCCTGTTGGTTCCCTGTACATTTCCCTTTATTTCGCTTTGCATAGCCTGCATTTCCTCCTTCGTTCTGCCCTGGAACTCAGCCACTTCTGTGAGCATCCCGATTACCAGTGTTTGGGGCTCTGCTTCTGACAGACTGGCTAGCTCTCCATCGCTGAGTTGTATTTTTTCTGGAGCTTTGATCTGTCCTTTCATTTGGGCCATATTTCTTTGTCCTGTTGCACCTGTTACGCAGTGAGGGGCGGAGCCCTAGGCATTGGCCAGGGCGGGGCAGCCCTCTTTGCCGTGTCCTGGCGCTGGCTGTGGGGGAGGGTCCGAGAGGGAACAGTGTGCCGCGTGCTGGCTCCACTCCAGCCCCACTTTCTGTCACTTCCCCGGCTTCCCACAAGCAGACTGGGCCCTTGCAGGCGCTGATTCCCAGGTGGGTGGGTTTGTGCACATTCTAGGATCCCGCGGTTCTGTCCAGCGAACCCTCCTGTGAGGCCGGGAGTCTCTCCCGCCTTCGCAACCCCCACAGGTTTTTACGGCCAGAGGTTCTGAGTCTTCAGTTTCCCAGTCCGCCACCTTGCGAGGGTCCTCTCTGCCCCCCTGCCCCTCCCCGCCCCTCCTAACAGTCTGGATGAATGTTTCTTTAACTCCTCGGTTGTCCAAGTTCCACGTGGGTTGATTCTTCTGGCAGTTCTAGTTGTTTATGGTTTTTAAATTGGTCGCTATCCTTCTTTTGGTTGTGGGAGGAAATGGAGCGTTTCTACCAAGGCCTGCACCTTGGCCAGAACTGAACAAGCTCTTTTCTTACATATTGCTACATATGCCAGGCGCACAGGCTCAAGGTCATGAGTAGTGTGTGTCTGCAGTGTTTCTAATTCCTTTCCACATCCCAGTGCACACCAGGAATGAGTGTATCTCTCTGATCTGTGTGACCTGCGCCGTAAGTAGGTTTCTGGGCCGTGAGCTGCGCAGGGTTTTCCTGCTTGTGTGGATGACGGACAGGCGGGGAGAGGGCGGGTGAGGTTGCATGAGAGCGTGAGTGAGTGGAACTTCTTCCCGAGCGAGAGGACAGGCCCAAGGTGGCACGCCCCAGTCCTCCGTCGGCCCACCCTCCACGGAGGACTCTGGCCCTAGCCTGAACCTCCCTGGGTGGGAAGAGAAAGAACGGTGTTTCCCAGCTGCACTGACACCCGGACCGCAGCGTGTGTGTGCGTGTGCACACGTGCGTGCATGGTAGTTTATGACTAAAAGGAACCTTTTACTTTTTTCCAAATAACAACGAAAAAAATACACAAAAACTGTCTTACTAAGATCAACGGCCTTCAGTTCCCACGGGTCACCACCA